CTCGCAAAAGGCTTTATATCCTGTTGCAAAGTCATAAATCTTTATTCCTATACTTAACCTATATTTCTCTGACTGACCATTATATTTATACTTAACGTCTTAGAACTATATCCTTATAGCTATACCCATAGACCTATACCCTTATAAGTGTATTGTCATATCTATATCTATACATCTATACCGTTTCACCAGTGTCTTTATGTCTACAGTTGACGACAAAAGTTTAAACAAATTTGTTTCTTTCAGTGTTTTTTTCCCATTCGTTTTTGAAATTTTTCTTCCACACGAAAGTGTACTGACCTAATTAAAGTGATGATTTAGATAGTAAGAGAGGCCGACTACATGCATGAAATACTATTGGAGGAGACTCCGTCTATCTATATACATTTTTCATAATTAACATGATTTTTTCCAACCGAAAATAAGTTTTAATAGTGTCCAGTATTTTGCATTTTCTAAGCAAGAGAATTGCGTTAAAATAAAATAGAACAAACTAGTCCATATAGAATATCACATTCTCTCTGTTTCTAAAATAAGTTCCGTTCTCAAAATTAGTCTTCACCTAAAAAACTGATTCTAATGAGAATAGCTGGAAAAAGACTGACTTTTTTCCATCAAAATAATAGGAAAAGAAATGTTAGTTGTGTTTTTCAAAATTTTTCAAAGCATGGACTTAAAAATCCTGAGATATTAGAACTTCAAATACATCATTTTATTGAATTCTGCATGCTCGTTTTGGCGACGTAAAATACATTGCAATAAGAGAGTATATGTATGAAGAGTGTGAGTGTCCATGAAAGCATACTACCAACACCCTCCCACACTGATACCGACATCCTTTATTGTCTGAAGAAGATGTTAGTCAACGCCGAAGCGTAACCATATAATAAAATAAAACTAAAGAAGATTAATTTATTATCATCTATGAATCCTTATGATAGTAACGTAAAATAATATACCCTTATGCATAGAATAATGAATATTTCTGATGGACAAGTTACATAATAGATCATTAATTATAGTTCATATACTCTGTTTATTTTCATATACCTTTACTGTTGTCAACCCTTCGACTCAGAAACTCTTGAAGGGTATATGAGACCGGCATTAACCCTTCAAGAGTTTATTAAAACTTGTTTTAAGCGCAAGGGTTGATTGTTCTGTGGTTATTTTTTACAGTGTAGGATCTTCAAGGAGAGAGAGGAAAGTCTCAATCGATGGACTCGGGAGAGACGGTTTCATACAGTTTTAGTAGTTTTATTGTGGACCCACCCGTAAATATACGACTATAAAAGATGAAGATCTCATCCAGTTTTCGATTGTTGACGCCTTGATTTATGAAATGTCAATCCACATCCTTCTGTATAATTTTGACTGCTTGTAGTATGGTTAACAATGATTATTCGATTTTGCGAAGAGTTCCATACTGAGTTCTTTTTAGATGGAACTGATTTCTGCTCCACTTCACACAATAAGCTCATTCCTTTCAAAAGCAAGGAGCCTGCGCTCACCATATTTCGTCATCATCTTATTATTTAGTTTTGTCATGAGTTACCCTTACTTGAACAATTTCTACGGTCGCTATATATTGTCAAAATGTGCTATTATAAAGATGAATGGCATACCAAGTTACATGAAAACAAGATTGAGCGCATCCAGTTTGGAGTATTTTGATGACGTTAATAGCATTCCTGGCACAACTGGGCCAGGAATTCCGGTGGCAATACGGTCAGTTTTGTCAACAAAATATGGCGGTGTGAATACTAATGCTACAGCGTCTTACGGTGCTGCCACAGGTAATTGAAATTTGTTATATATTCGACATTTATTCGTGCAACTGTAGGTAATCTTTTCATGACATTGTTTGCCATTAAGGCAGGCTGTTTTGGCTGACTCTTGAGTTTTTCCGAAGCCTTTCCCGTGACGGCAATCTCATTTGATTTTTTAACGCCTATGATGTCTTTTTCAAACTGATTTCTGTTTGAAAAAGATCATATGTGTGCTTATTTGCACTCATGCTATTGTCGGGTGACACGAGAGATCGAACAAATATTATAAGAAAACAATAATATAATTCAAATGAATGACGAAAATATACGGCAGAGATTCTGAAAGAAAGAGGAATATTGATTCTGACTAGTTTTTTCTCATTCTTTCGACATTCCACAATCTATTTCAATGACATCCTACTTCTCGTATAATCTGAGTTCGTTTTGACACATGAATCCATCGTAGCACGAAGGCCTACCGGCTGATACCCGAGTGCCATGTGATGTCAGTTTTCAAGTTGTATATCTAGTGATAATTTGGTTTACAATCATATAGGCCCTATGAAGTTTCACATAATCTGGAATATGTGATCAATAATGTACTTATCCATCAGGAATATATTATTTTGACTTCAGTTGCGACTACTGATGTATTGCAAGGAGACGTTAAGAAAAAAACAGAAAAGTATTGGTACAAATGTGTTTTCTAATAAGTGAAAGTCAGAAACACTCTCTTTCAGTTTCTTCTACAACAAAGATTTTTTCATTTTAGCCGTTAGACAATTTGAAGAAGAATGCGGTTGGAACTCAACTATCTCGAATTTCGTCCATCCTAACTGCACAAATCAATTTCATTTCATTCGAAAGACACCACAATTTAATTTGAGGAACTATTATAATGAGATCGATATTGTAATACCGTCCATACGTGACCTTGACTTTCTCGAACATTGGAAATCTTTCTTTCGACATTTCCATCTGATTATCATACAAGATGGTGATCCAGATAAGTTTTTACGAATTCCATCCTGGGCTGACTATGAACTGTACAATAGACGTGATATAGAGGCGTCATTGGGGAAAGACAAGCAATGGATCATCAGCTCTCAAGATGCATCTATTCGAAACTTTGGTTTTCTTGTCTCGAAAAAAACTTTCATTTATACAATTGACGATGACTGTTTGCCAGCTGAGGATACCGATGGAAATTACGTCAATGCTTTAGAAAGACACCTTCAGACCCTTGTTACCAACTCAACTCCGTATTTTTTCAATACTCTGTATGATCCTTATCGTGAAGGTTCCGATTTTGTTCGTGGATATCCATTTAGTTTGCGAAGAGGTGTGCCCACCGCAATTTCTCATGGCATTTGGCTCAATGCTCCGGACTATGATGCGCCCACTCAATTACTCAAGGTTGACGAACGTAATACACTTCTCGCTGACATAACTATAACGGTGCCTGCTGGTGTTCTCTATCCAATGTGTTCTATGAATGTGGCTTTTAATCGCAAGTTGATTGGGCCGGCTTTCATGCAAGGTCTTATGGGCTCTGGCATGCCTTGGGGACGATATGATGATATGTTCGCTGGATGGGCAAGTAAGGTGGTGGCAGATCACCTGGATCTTGGTGTCAAAACAGGAGCACCTTATATTCGACACAATAAAGCTTCGAATCCATTCACCAACCTTAAGAAGGAATATATGGGGCTGTTCTGGCAAGAAGATATTATTGCTTTCTTTCAAAAGGTGCGATTCTCATCATCTGCAAAAACTCCCCAAGAGTGCTATTTAGAACTGGCTGAAATGATTCGTGCAAATCTGAGCCATTTGAATGAATATTTCAGTCGGCTAGCTACAGCCATGAAAATTTGGATTGAACAATGGGATCGAGCTCAAAATAGTGAGATTATTTTTAGACCCAGTCGACAAAATCGACGAAAGAGTACCAATAGTTCATTTGCTGTACTGACTATTTGTCGTAATGAGCCTGGATACTTACCTATTTGGCTAAAATACTATCGCCGCTATTTCGCCGATGGGGATATTTACATTTTGGATAACGATAGTGACGATGGATCGACAGCAAATCTGTCTGTGAATGTTATTCGTGTTCACTCCGAAAAATATTTTGATCATTATTGGCTAGTTGGAACTGTTCAAAATCATACACGAAATTTACTCGAAAGTGGTTACAAATATGTTTTGTTTTGTGAAATCGATGAAATAGTTGTACCTGATCCGGCTAAATATCCGTTGGGCTTGATCGATTACATTAATAGAACAAAACTCATGGTTGTTCGTGTCAAAGCGTACGATATTCGTCACAATGTAAGCTTAGAACCCAAACTGAAATTAAATGAATCGATTCTTCAACAGCGTCGTTATTGGATGCGACACGCAAATTATGATAAACCCCTCTTAACAAACATAGCACTACATTGGGTTCCCGGTTTCCATAGCTGTCAAGAACCTGCGACCAAGTTAGAATATTTCTTTGTTTCAATGGAAATAGATGTCTATCTTTTTAAATTTAGGGACGAAAATTTGATTATGTTTCACTTGCAACGAATGGATCATGACTTTTACACGAAGCGCGCTGATTGGAAAAGTCGACAGAACCTTAAAATGGATGATATAAAGAAAGGGATGGGAGTCCAACATGCTTTCCGTGGTGAACGAGCAGAAAACTTCTTCAAAGAAATTACTGGTGAGATATCGGAAATTCCGATACGTTATCGATCTATGGCTATCTTCTAATCAATGCTGTGCAGAGACTGAAAACGAACCGAACCGAACCGAACCCGAACTGATTTTAAGAAAAAAAAATGACGAACCGAACCGAACTCGATCCAGCAAAACTCGGTTTTCTTTCGATCTCTGATGCTGTGGTTTTTGTTTATTCTTAATGTGACATTTGTTTTTTACCTAGAAAAAGTAAAGGACAATCAATATATCGAAACTAACATGTAAGAGATGATTCAGAAAACAGTAAGTAAATCGTGGGAGAGCTTGGGCTTCTATTGCAGTTCAGGTAAACGCCTCAGCGACAACCTATAACATTCGAATATGAAGACAATAGCGTCCCTATCAGTTTGCAAGATACTTCTCTCCGTTTGGATCATGATACTTGAAATATGATACCGAATTTGTTTCGGACACCTCTTAGACAGATAGAAAAAAATTTTCGCAGGTACCACAGAAGAATGAGGGAGTAGATGTTAAAACCGATGAGTTCCACCATCAGCAGATCATCCTGAACGATGAGAATAATAATCCTAAACCAGTGCAAAAATCATCTTCAAATTTTCATGGTTGGTTTTGCATCTTACACATGAGGATAAGATTAAATTTATATTTGAAAAGAGCATCTTTTCAGGCGAACTCTAACACAACTACGGTTGATATAATCTTTTACACTCATCAGAAGAAGCCAAAGACCATTTCGACTTCTTTGTTTTGCTTTAAATTAGAAAAGAAAATTGATTCTAGTTAACAACAATTTTTAAATTAGCTTAGTTGTTAACTGAATTTAAACTTCATTAAATAAACTTGATTTAGTTTTAAGGATGAAACATTCATGAGTTACTGTTACTTACAAAGCAATCTGTAGTGATGATTCCTCATATTTGATGATAACTATGGGTTTGCAGATAAAACATTATCCATATAATTTGGCCAATAGTATATGAGTAAGAGAAATAATTTTCGAAATGGTATGCATTTCTTGGTTTTAAAAAATGGATGAGTGTATTCAAAAAGAAAAAATCGGTATAAATAACTAACTGATTATATAAAAGTCACTCGTCATGCCGACACTAATGACAAATTAAAGCAAACTATTTTACAATTCTACGTGGTAATACTTCATATTCGTTGACATCAGCATGCCCGAATAAGATTTATTTGAAGCTTTTGTTTTTCAAACTCATATTAAAGTTATACAACATATGTTGAGTTTTGGCGTATCTTTCTTATAAATTTTCTTTAGCTTACAAAGTTGCGATTTGAACGATATCTTCAGCATATTTCAAGTTTTCTAATGTGAATAAAATTATTATAGACTTCGTTTCAGAATCCTCAGGTTATCTAGTATCAAGTCGAAATATAATTGAATAATATTTTTGAAGTCACCAAAATTGCGTGTGAATTATCAATATTTGTTTTATACTGAACCAGATCAACTTTACCAGAAATTTATTTAGAAGTATAGATAAATGTTATGTAAAGACAGGTTGATGGCGTTCGAGACTTGGAGACTGATCATTTTATGTTATTTCTATAATATTATGAAGCATTGTACGGTTACAACTTGCCGCATCTGTACCAAGCCGGTGGATTGCGCTACTCTAACATATCACTGATAGTGTAACAGAACAACTAATCAATTATGTGATCAAGGATATTATTATTCAACAACAGTGTTAAAACACCTATTATCAAATTTTTTTATGAATTATACTGTTAAAAATCAAGCTCGACAGTTCGTTAAGGAGTTACATTTCAATGTACTCGACTATTAGTAATATACTTTATTATATTTCCCTCAAGTAAATATTTGTCTGACATTTATAATTATTATCACAAGAAAAGTCATCTGGTGAGTCACATGCAATGAATTGACATTGAATTAAATAAAGAAAAACACAAATTTCATTCACATTGAGCATTGTGGTTTCAATCTAATTACTAACAGTATTTGCCGAATATTGTCTACATTTAGAAATTTTATACCAGGTATCAGTGAATCAATTAGGAAAACGTGCGACTTCAGCACTTTGAAGTGCTGAAGTCGCACTTTTTCTCTTTGAAGTGAACCAAGGGAGAAACAGCTGATTAGGATGCCGATAATCACCCTAATGAACCCTAATCATCTCTAATCATTCATAATCACCGCTAATCATCCCTAATCACCTCTAATCAAGCCTAATCAGCCCTAATCGTCCCTAATCAAGTATGATCCAGGGATGTAACAATACCAATACCATTTGTTATTGGCGCTATTGGTATTTGTATTGTATGAAGGTATCCGTGAATCCTCATGTCATATTATATGAAGGTACCTTTGGGTCCTCAAGTCTTATTGTATGGAGGTATCCTTAGGTCCGCATATCCTACTATATGAAGATATCCTGAGTCCTCAAGTCCTATTATATACAGGTACCCTTAGGTTCTGATCTCCTAGTATATGACGGTACCCTTGGGTCCTCATCTCCTACTATATGAAGGTACCCTTAGGTCCTCATCTCTTATTATATACAGGTACCGTTGGTCCTCCAGAGCTATTATATGGAGGAACCATTGGATCCTCATATCCTATTACATGGAGGTACTCTTAGATTCTGAAGTACTATCGTATAAAACTACCCAAAGGTCAGCACAGAGATGCAACAATGCTAATACTTCCAATGGTATTGGTGGTATTGGTAGTGTGCGATGAAAAACAAACTTGAGTATTTTAAAAAACTCATCATAGATTCGAATTTCAGGACGCCGCCAAACCTTCTACCAACGACAAAATTAACTCTAAACTTGGTTTTTGATCTAAATATAGAGTTTATAGTTAGAAGAAATTTTCTTGGATATATATGAATAGTAGAAGTATAGATGTTTATAATATAAATAAAAATCTAATATGAAGATACTAACTGATGATATGTTTTCTGAGTCTTTTTAATACATGCTTGAATAACATTTAATGATAAACCATTTAAAGCTTCATCGACAGCATTCTCTAGTTCACGGTGTGATTTTGGATTCTTGGTTTTAATTTTTTGTTTGATAATGTTCCAGACTAGTTCGACAGCATTAAAATCAGGACTATAACCTGGCCATTCACATAATTCAATATTATATTGGTCACGCCATCGCTTGAATTGAGCACTTCTGTGTCATTTGACTCTGTCAGAAACATATAAAAATCCATTCAATTTTTGTATATTCGCTGATAAAAGTATTAAAAAGACTCCTACAGTATATCAACAGTTTACATTTTCATATTAGATTTTTACTTGTATTATAAACATCTATACTTCTACTATTCATATATATCCAAGAAAATTTCTTCTAACTATAAACTCTATATTTTAGATCAAAAACCAAGTTTAGGATTAATTTTGTCGTTGACAGTTTGATCAAGTTTTATAGAAACCCTTATTTTCGAAAAAAAGCCTTTTCCTGACGAAAAATCAAGAACATGAAATGGCATAAGTTAAGATTATGTAAACACCTTTGTTTTTGCGACTTTTAGGGGTGAGGGTTGTTTATATAAACTAGATTTGTTCGAAGCCAAATATGACAATCGATAAAGCACACTTCGCTCTACAAAATTGCGTCTTTAGTTCTGGAACAAGTCTAGTTTATATAAACAACCTCTACCCTCAAAAGTCGCAAAAACAAAGGTGTTTACGTAAACTTAACTTATTCCCATAAAACTAGGCTTTCCATATTTTACGTTCTTGATTTTTTTCTGTCAAGGAAGGGCTTTTTTCCGAAACAGTAGTGCTATATAAAGTTTCAACAATAGGTTTCGGGATCGAGAAATTCGAATCTACTATTAGTTTTTCGAAATTTTCAACTTTGATGTTTCTTTGCAAACTATCAATACCGCTAGTACCAAATGGTATTGGAAGTATTAGAATTGCTACGTCCCTCTGCTGAACTATGGGTACCGTTATATAATAAGAGATGAGGACCTAAGGGTACCCCATACAATAGAACTTGAGGACCAAAGGGCACCTCCATACAATAGGACTTCAGGACCTAAGGTACCTCCATATGATAGAACTTGAGGGCCCAAGAGTACCTTCATATAGTAGAACATGAGGACTTAAGGATACCTTCATACAATAGGACTTGAAGACCCAAGAGTACCTTCATATAATAGGAGATGTGGACCCAGAGATATCTTCATACAATACCAATACCATATCCGTCAATATCAATACCTCAATAGCGTATTGGTATTGTTACATCCCTAGTACCAAGCAGATAAAGAACTACAGATACCTTAAATCATGGAGGAAAGCTGATCATCTCCCTAATCACCCTAATCAAGTCTAATCACTCCTAATCAAGTCTAATCACTCCTAATCAAGCCTAATCACTCCTAATCACCCCTAATCAAGTCTAATCACCCCTAATCAATCCTAAACAAAAATCAACTGTTTCCCCCTTGAAGTGAACACACAAAATGAAATGAGATTCAAATTCTTCCAGATTGTAGCACAAACTCATTAAGTGCTGTATTAATAGAAGAGAATATGACGAGCATGAAGTTATGTAATGTGTTTAGTGTATCATAGCCGATATAAAAAGAAAATAGTGTGATAAATAACATCCAATTTTTTTCGTTGTTACTGCATAGATCACGTTTCTTTGCAGTCGTCAAAAGTCAGAAATTATGTAACAAGATCGTTTTGTTTAAAATGAACTGGATATTGCTTCAACGAACTCTATGACATTAATCAAAATGTAATTTGAATATGAACGAAGACAAAGCACAAAATGGATATTCTGGTGATATGTCAAATCAACATAAAGAAGCTTATAGAATACAATCAGTATTGGTATTGGATGTAGAGGGTGGGTCTTCTCTTTATTCACACTCCAAATCCTTTTATCCTCCTCTGTCCTCTGCACATATGTAAAAGAAAATGTTTTTCTATGAAATAACACAACCTTGATGGTGTAAACGTAACTGACCATTGTCTTTATCAGCATTTAATAAATGCTTTTAAGAAAAATAACTTCGATTCAGA